TATATGATGTAAAGTCGTTATTATATGATTGCGGCTATGGGTATGTTTGGCATAATCAATATGTACCAAACAATCCAGATTCATTTTTAGTATCTCTACGCCAAAGACTTAAGGATATATACTTACAAAAATGGGCATCGCATGTTTCAAGTTCACAAAAATGCAATTATTACAAGCTTTTCAAGACAACATTTCCCCAGAATACTGGGTAAAGAAAACTTTAAAAGGTTTAGAATAAGTTTAGCCCAATTTAGATGCAGCTCTCATAGACTTAGGATCGAAGTAGGCAGGCATAGAAACATAGCTAGAGAATTGAGAGAATATGTGAGCAATGTGGTTTAAATGTGATTGAAGATAAGTTTCATTTTCTGTTAGTTTGTCCAAAATACGCCCACCTTAGAAGAAAATATATTGATCTGCCTTGTTATGTACATCCCAATCTACAAACTGATAAAGATACTCTAAAAAATCTATCAATGTTCATTTATCATGCTATGTTAATTAGAATATGACCTGTTAAACGGATCTGTAACCACTCCCGAAAACAGAATTGTACTATGGGCCTGAGGCCTTTCAGTATGGAATAAAACTTACCCTTACAGAATATGACACCAAGAGGAAGTACAGCCGTTTATGACCGGTGGTCTAAAAGTAGAATGGGACAGTTTAATTAAACGTTCATGAAATAAGCATGTCGTGATTAGACGTTAACATCAGAAACAAATTGATTTTTAATTGTAAATCTGTTTAACAAACTACACATAAAAAATACTTTAACATCTAAGCTTAACACATGGGACAATGTCAACCGTTAACTCAAAATTCATCACCCCCGACTTACAATCAAATAGCAGCCAGCAAGGTTTGAAGTTCATACGTCCAGAAACTTCGAGTGTTGGTCTTCTCTCTTCTCAGCTGAAGCTGTACGACGTCACATTGTTTTTAAGAACAATACGATATGACGTCATCCAGCGCTTATGACGTCACAAATTGATTACATAACGTCATCCGACTTTCAGTGGAAGTATCCCTCTACGGCTGACATTTTATACACAGGGACAGGGTCAGAAACCACGCGGACCCCGTATACGTAGAATTCCATCTCATTCCTCACGTGCAGACACACAAGCCCAGGGATAGATGCCACGTGGACCCCGTATACGTGGAAGTCTTTCTCATTCCTCACGTGCAGACACACAAGTCCAGGGTCAGATACCGCGTGGACCCCGTATACGTGGAAGTCTTTCTCATTCTTCACGTGCAGACACACAAGCCCAGGGTCAGATACCGCGTGGACCCCGTATACGTGGAAGTCCCTCTCATTCCTCACGTGCAGACACACAAGTCCAGGGTCAGATACCGCGTGGACCCCGTATACGTGGAAGTCTTTCTCATTCCTCACGTGCAGACACACAAGTCCAGGGTCAGATACCGCGTGGACCCCGTATACGTGGAAGTCCCTTTCATTCTTCACGCTCAGACACACACGTCCAGGGTCAGATACCACGTGGACCCCGTATACGTGGAAGTCCCTTTCATTCTTCACGTGCAGACACACAAGTCCAGGGTCAGATACCACGTGGACCCCGTATACGTGGAAGTCCCTCTCATTCTTCACGTGCAGACACACAAGTCCAGGGTCAGATACCGCGTGGACCCCGTATACGTGGAAGTCTTTCTCATTCCTCACGTGCAGACACACAAGCGCAGGGTCAGATACCGCGTGGGCCCCGTATACGTGGAAGTCTTTCTCATTCCTCACGTGCAGACACACAAGTCCAGGGTCAGATACCGCGTGGACCCCGTAAACGTGGAAGTCCCTCTCATTCTTCACGTGCAGACACACAGGTCCAGGGTCAGATACCACGTGGACCCCGTATACGTGGAAGTCCATCTCATTCTTCACGTGCAGACACTCAAGTCCAGGGTCAGATACCACGTGGACCCCGTATACGTGGAAGTCCCTCTCATTCTTCACATGCAGACACACAAGTCCAGGGTAAGATACCGCGTGGACCCCGTATACGTGGAAGTCTTTCTCATTCCTCACGTGCAGACACACAAGTCCAGGGTCAGATACCGCGTGGACCCCGTATACGTGGAAGTCTTTCTCATTCCTCACGTGCAGACACACAAGCCCAGGGTCAGATACCGCGTGGACCCCGTATACGTGGAAGTCCCTCTCATTCCTCACGTGCAGACACACAAGTCCAGGGTCAGATACCGCGTGGACCCCGTATACGTGGAAGTCTTTCTCATTCCTCACGTGCAGACACACAAGTCCAGGGTCAGATACCGCGTGGACCCCGTATACGTGGAAGTCCCTCTCATTCTTCACGTGCAGACACACAAGCCTAGGGTCAGATACCACGTGGAGCCCGTATACGCGGAAATCCCTCTCATTCCTCACGTGCAGACACACAAGCCCAGGGTCAGATACCGCGTGGACCCCGTATACGTAGAAGTCTTTCTCATTCCTCACGTGCAGACACACAAGTCCAGGGTCAGATACCATGTGGACCCCGTATACGTGGAAGTCTTTCTCATTCCTCACGTGCAGACACACAAGTCCAGGGTCAGATACCGCGTGGACCCCGTATACGTGGAAGTCCCTTTCATTCTTCACGTGCAGACACACAAGTCCAGGGTCAGATACCACGTGGACCCCGTATACGTGGAAGTCCCTTTCATTCTTCACGTGCAGACACACAAGTCCAGGGTCAGATACCACGTGGACCCCGTATACGTGGAAGTCCCTTTCATTCTTCACGTGCAGACACACAAGTCCAGGGTCAGATACCGCGTGGACCCCGTATACGTGGAAGTCTTTCTCATTCCTCACGTGCGGACACACAAGCCCAGGGTCAGATACCAGGTGGACCCCATATACGTAGAAGTCTTTCTCATTCCTCACGTGCAGACACACAAGCCTAGGGTCAGATACCGCGTGGACCCCGTATACGTGGAAGTCTTTCTCATTCCTCACGTGCAGACACACAAGTCCAGGGTCAGATACCGCGTGGACCCCGTATACGTGGAAGTCTTTCTCATTCTTCACGTGCAGACACACAAGTCCAGGGTCAGATACCACGTGGACCCCGTATACGTGGAAGTCCCTTTCATTCTTCACGTGCAGACACACAAGTCCAGGGTCAGATACCATGTGGACCCCGTATACGTGGAAGTCCCTTTCATTCTTCACGTGCAGACACACAAGTCCAGGGTCAGATACCGCGTGGACCCCGTATACGTGGAAGTCTTTCTCATTCCTCACGTGCGGACACACAAGCCCAGGGTCAGATACCAGGTGGACCCCGTATACGTAGAAGTCTTTCTCATTCCTCACGTGCAGACACACAAGCCTAGGGTCAGATACCACGTGGAGCCCGTATACGCGGAAATCCCTCTCATTCCTCACGTGCAGACACACAAGCCCAGGGTCAGATACCGCGTGGACCCCGTATACGTAGAAGTCTTTCTCATTCCTCACGTGCAGACACACAAGTCCAGGGTCAGATACCATGTGGACCCCGTATACGTAGAAGTCGTTCTCATTCCTCACGTGTAGACACACAAGCCTAGGGTCAGATACCGCGTGGACCCCGTATACGTGGAAGTCTCCTTGGTGCATAGGGGTTGGACATAGGGGGTGGACATACATCATATCTGGACCGTAGTCGACGTATACAAAATTTGGTAGCTGGAGTGTAATCAGTTCAAGGTCGGAACGCGTCATGTTAATGGGAGAGACGGTCGCTTCCGATATGCCTGATTTTGACAGACCCGTGAAGATCCGGGGTAGAATTGGTCTTCAGCAACCCATACTTGCCGAAAAAGGTGACTATGCTTGTCGTAAGAGGCGACTAACGGGATCGGGTAGTCAGGCTCGCTGACTTGGTTGATGCATGTAATCGTATCCCAACTGCGTGTGTCGCTGCTCTTGATTTCACTCACTGGATTGTCTGGTCCAGACTCGGTTATTTACAGACCGCCGTCATATAGCTGGAATATTGCTGGATGCGGCGTTAAACAACAAACAAGCAAACAAACAAACAAACCGACAAACATAAATGCAACTGAACCCAAGCTCAGTCTTGGCCTCGATATGGGCGGATTTTATACCGCATTTCTCAGGCTCGTTTCAAGTTGAATGTCCTCTTGTCGCTAAACTGCATCGTAACGGATGTTGGCACGGTTGTGTGTGCTAGCGTATATCTTTACGGAAACCGCCAAAGGCGAGGACCTTAATACTGCAGTTGACTCTCAACATTTAACAAATGGGTCCATCAAACCCCAATCGTGAATAAAATGTCTGATTCATTCTTAAAGGCGGCATGTCAAGAGGATGCACTTCATCATTAAACTATGATTGACTAATGACACTTTTGGTGCAAGATGTCTTTTAACGTGGCATCAAATAAAGGTTTTCCCTTATAATTTCCCCACAGTTTGAGCAATCAAGCACTTCTACCTTCCTGTCATCTGCCAAGTCGTACGAAGAAAATGGCCTATCTCTCATCTCGAAGGTTTGACAACTCGTAACAGCCAAACCCAACATTTCTGACATTTGTGTTGAGATGTACGTTGTTTATTTCGTAAGAATGTCATCTTCGAGAGGCAAGGGAAAAACGCAACGTACGTTTCTCTGGGTCCTGCACGTTATCATCGTAATAGCAGTTGCCATCTATTTGCGAATGCATAATGTTAAAGACAAAAAATATGTAGTTATTAATTTTTACCAAATTTACAATGTTTTTAGTTCTATACACGAACCCTGTTTAAGACAAGTGAATGTTACTGTGAAGAGTTGATCACCAAGGAACTATAAATCTGTAAGGAAGATTGATCGTCGGGTAACTGCAGATATGTGTATTGTCCTAGCGCCTGATGTTTGCTGAAGGCGACTTGAGAAGCCTTCATGCTCGTACAGCAAACACAGATGTGTGTCGCCGTACTGTACTGTTTGTTCCAACCGAATACACCTCGCCTACACCTGATATGGTTATCACCGGGCCGTCCTCATGCCAGGCTCCACAGTGTTGAGTGTTGGTGTTGTTGTATCATGGCGAGCGGGAGTCAAAGCAAAGTTACGTCGTCCGACGTCGACGACGGGGCTGAAAGAGGAAAGTCTTGTGTACCAAAATGGTTTCGGCAAAACTTACTTGTGATTTTGACGTTAATATTTGGAGTGGGTTTGGGATTTCTGGTGGGCTTCACGATTAGACTTGCTGACCCGACGGAAGAGGCGTTGATGTGGCTAGGTGAGTGTCTTTTAAACCATGTCCATCACAACAATTGGCATAGTCTTCACATGGCCTGATAGTGAGTGAGTGAGTGAGTGAGTGAGTGAACGAGCGGGTGGGTGGTTGTGTTTTGGGGTAAGTGAGTGAGTGGATTTTTGAGTGAGTGAGTGAATGAGTGAGTGAGTGAGTGATGGAGTGAATGAGTGAGTGCAACACGCAAGGTTTAGGCAACTGAGGACCTATTCTAAAACAGCAGCGGTTACCGGTGGGATGAAATGGTATGTCAATGCAAAGTCTTCTAGTGCCTAACAGGTAGTTAGGTTGTACCTTCCCCAGGGAGATGAGAACATATTTCAATGTTCACTGACCAGGTAATAATGTAGCTTTATGATCAAGATGGAGGATGTGACCTTTATCCCAAAACGTAGCAGCCATTTTTGTATCCTCTCTTCAAGGGAGATGACTCCAAATGCTCCTTCAACAGGATATAACTAAGCTGTAAACAAGTTTAATCTTGTTCGATGCGGTTTTCAATAATAATTGATCATATCATCAAAGACGTTTAATAAAACTGACAAAACAGGAACAATGAGAAGACATTATACTAGTTCTAGTAAACGGTGAAATGAAAAAAAACCAGTTAAATTTTCACGGCTCCAAACGCCATTAACAGCTCTCACACATTGCCGAGGTGGTTGCCGAGCTCTCCCGAGCCTAACTCGGTTAGGACTCGGGAAGAGACGACATATATACGAGTATTATACGAGTACGCTACGAGTTGGTTACGAGCCCGATAGGAGTCCATTAGGAGTCCTGCCGCCTCCGTGGTCTTGTGGTAGATCGTCCGCCCGGAGAGCGGAAGGTCCGGGGTTCGATCCCCGGCCGCGTCATACCAAAAGACGTAAAAAGATGGTACTTGTTGTTACCCTGTCTGGCGCTCGACATTAAGGGGCTAAAACAAGGACTGGTCGGCTCGGAGTCAGTATACTGTGTCTGAGTGGGGTATTCATGTTAAACTGCGGCTTGGTATCTCAGTGAGCTATCACTATAAATCGGCATCAGTCCGGACTAGTACAAGCAGCCACAGACACACACGTGCATGCACGTCGCTATATAAGTGCAATAATCTTGGACGCGACGTTAAACCGAATTTCACCTCACCTCACCCAATAGGAGTCCAGTAGGAGTCTAATAGGAGTCCATTAAGAGTTGCATACGAGCACGATCTCGATACAAGCTGTACGAGTTTGGTACGACTTTGGTACGAGGTGGCTACGAGCTGCTAAATAATTCTGCGGGAAATACACTCGTATAGCTCGTATTAGACTCGGCAATAAATTTGCAGACGATCCTGATACGAGTTCTGTACGAGCATCACGAGGTCGCCACTAGGGTACTACGAGTAGGACGAGTGTGTTACAAGTTTGTTACGAGTTTCTTAGGAATTGGCTGGCGGCCCGACTGTTTTGAGCAGTTCCAAAACTCTCGAAGATCAGTACGAGGTATCCCGAGTTACCCCGAGTTTAGTACGACCTCGCTACGAGCTCAATACGAGTACGCCCGAGTCAGCTCGGGTCAATACTCGGGACGCAACTCGGCAAAGTGTGAGAGCCCCTTTACTGAGAAAATATATCATCTTTAATTTCCCAATTTAACCCTATCCTTTTGTCTCGTGTCTATAAAACATAAAGGAATATACCTTTCGTCATACATAAATAATCCTTCAGACCAGTGAAGTCAGCGAAGTATGTTCGTCAAACACTGATTGCACGAGGCAACGACGCTAACGTCTCCATCACCCGGGGACGTATTCGTCGTCACGCTCGGGCCAGGTAACGTTCGGTCGTAAACACGGACTTGGGGTTGACATCATTTCATGGGCTGTGAGAGTCCGATGGGTTCATTTGGTAAATATGAAAGGTTTCATTATAAATGGAGTAAAAAATGGTTTGATTCTATATTATTTAAATTTTAATTCGTAACTCCATTGTGTCGTGCCCTTCAAACCATACAGCTAAATACGAAGATAAGGTAGCGAATGGGTCTAGGGTAGTTATCCACATAGAATGGAGATATAACACACCCACCAACCTCCCCTCGTACAACTGCTTCGGGGGATGCGACTTATGGAGCAGCAGAATTCGTAGATGGTGGCGGGTTCTTAGAATAGTCCGTTAAAAGTTCTAGGCATAAACTATTGGACATTATGAAGCAGTATTACGCATATGCCACTTGAGCATTCACATGAACAATGTCTAACTTAATCACTTAAAGATATATATGCAATAAAGGTTCACATGTCACTTTCGCTCTTCAAATACAAGTTCCATGTGTATTACTGCAGCTAGGGCTACAGGTATTAAGTAGTTTTATAAAAATATCTTTCATAAAGAGATCAACAACACTCAAAATAAGTTAAGAAAAGAATATTTTATTACATATTCAGGCACTGGTATTAGATTTGCGACTGCGTACAGCGAGTACACGACTGCCCTCATCGGCGTAAAACTTGTTTATTTTGCATCGACGAAAACAAGAAAGAAAGGTATTCTTCGAATACAAAAAGTGTAAACATTAACCCATCGCAAACATTGCTTTCACAGATCCGTCGTACTCAAACACAAGTGTAGACATATGTACATACAGTGTCACAGGATACATGAATAATACATGACGGTGTCTCTTCAACAGTGTCAGGTGACGACACTATGTATGTATGTATGTGTGTATGTTTTTATGCTGGTCTCGGTGGGATCAAGTCGTGTATGACACATCTAAAATATCAGCTCTCATACATGGCGTTTGTCATGCCTACTCCGAGTGGCGCAGACCGTTGTAGGGACAGCGAATTACACAGGGCATGTTTTTCAACAAACTCACACAAAACCTTCTTGCCACACATACCTTAGATTAAATATACGATTTCATTGTACGCTGCATTGATGTAGTTGCGTGGAATGTCGACCTATAAGATAATAAAAACACTACTACTACTACTACTACTACTACTACTACTACTACTACTACTACTACTACATTACACCAGCTGACGTAAAACCTCCTTGACAAGACACCAGCTGACATAAAACCTCCTTGACAAGACACCAGCTGACATAAAACCTCCTTGACGTGACACCAGCTGACGTAAAACTTCCTTCACAAGACACCAGCTGACGTAAAACCTCCTCGAAAAGACACCAGCTGACGTAAAACTTCCTTGACATGACACCAGCTGACGTAAAACCTTCTTGGCGTGACACCAGCTGACGTAACACCTTCTTGACATTACACCAGCTGACGTAAAACCTCCTTGACAAGACACCAGCTGACGAAACACCTTCTTGACATTTCACCAGCTGACGTAAAACCTCCTTGACATGACACCAGCTGACATAAAACCTCCTTGACGTGACACCAGCTGACGTAAAACGTCCTTCACAAGACACCAGCTGACGTAAAACCTCCTCGACAAGACACCAGCTGACGTAACACCTTCTTGACATTACACCAGCTGACGTAAAACTTCCTTGACATTACACCAGCCGACGTAAAACTTCCTTGACATGACACCAGCTGACGTAAAACTTCCTTGACATGACACCAGCTGACGTAAAACCTTCTTGATGTGACACCAGCTGACGTAAAACCTCCTTGACAAGACACCAGCTGACGTAAAACCTCCTTGACATGACACCAGTTGACATAAAACCTTCTTGACGTGACATCAGCTGACGTAAAACCTCCTTGACATGACACCAGCTGACGTAAAACCTTCTTGATATTACACCAGCTGACGTAAAACCTCCTTGACGTGACAGCAACTGACGTAAAACCTCCTTAACATGACACCAGTTGACATAAAACCTTCTTGACGTGACATCAGCTGACGTAACGCCTTCTTGACGTTACACCAGCTGACGTAATACCTTCTTGACAAGACACCAGCTGACGTAACACCTTCTTGACAAGACACCAGCTGACGTAAAACAGTCGTCTTTGCACCGCTTTGGAAGTTCACCAGTTGATTGTACATCTCAATGACATAAATTTACTATGAATTTGCGACCGGTCGAACGTCAACTATCGAGGTCAAACTGTATTTTTGAAGCACCGGGCTTTAAACGTTGACATTTAGTTACCAAGTTGACACAGTGACATTTAGAGCAACACGTCCTGACATACGGGCATACTGCACTAACTAAAACTGGTGGCGATCCGCGGTCGTCTTGAACACCATGTCCAGATGTCCGTCCACTCTTCTCGGAGCACTCACTGCTGCAGGGATTGTGGGAGGCTACTGTGTCGGCTTCGTGTGTTACTACGCCGGGGCGGGAGAACACACGGTGATGTGGCTAGGTGAGAAGTGTAATGTAGTTCGGTTTAAACGTTCTTGTTTGCAACCCCTCTTGGGTGATAGTTGGGGTATAACCCAGGTTCGTTAATAACGTTCTATTCACCTCTCATGGGTGATAGTTAGGTCATAGTAAAAGCGACCAACGTTTTCCATAGAAATCTGTGATGGAAGCAGAGTCCATTGTACGATTCCGACTGTGAGCATGTGTCCATTAATCACTATCAATTATAATTCATCTCCCTCCCCCCTCACCGGGGTATTAGATTGTTATTATCCAAGGCTGGTTATTCGCGTCATAATCACTTCATGGGTTGTTGTCGGGTCGAAATCGACTATTCGCTACATCCAACTACGCTGTCGAAAATATTAGATCTGAATTTTTAAGAATTTCGATGTAATGTAGACACTCACATTGTCATCATATCTGATGACGCAGCAATAACTGTTTACTTCCTTCCTCCAGGGCTTCCGGGGGAGCTGTACATGCGCATGCTGAAAGCCACCATCCTCCCGCTCATCGTCAGCAGCGTCATCGCAGGTGAGATCCCGAGGTGGTTCTTTGGAATCAGACACGCTGCAAGTAGTAACAGAAATCTAACGAATACCAGATATCTATCAGCCATGTTTGTTTTAATGCTACCAATATAGAACCACATTTTAATAACATAGTCGACCTGTCATCGGATAATAATAATCATCAGCGTAATGGGAAGGAGATTGACTATGTCTAGATTATATTGGGCGTGAAAGGCTCGCTACCTGTGAAAATTATATAAATGGATCACTGACAATAAATGATGACACCAGGTGTTCGCGAAACGGTTAGACATGTTCTGCCCTACCGTCTGTTTGTGGCGTCAGTAAAGAGTTTTTAGAATGTTTTCCATGATCAGTTTCCTTTGTAAAACAGTTCACTGCAACTTCATCTACTTTCTAGGAGAGCCTTTACTAAATGTAGGTCAACCTTGATTGAAGTTCACGCATGTTGATTGTGAGAAGTCATTAACGTCATATTTGTAACGCCCACAAGGTGACAACACAAGAGAGCTGAGATGTTTTATGATAGGACACAAAATAATGCCACCCATAAAATAATGTGCTATTTTTTTAGAACAAAGACAAATTAAAAGATGCTAATAGTTCTCAGTCAAGGGAAATTATTATATTTGTTAGGAAACATCATAAAAATACCTAAAACAATCATACATAAAAGCGATAACTCTCTCTCTCTCTCTCTCTCTCTCTCTCTCTCTCTCTCTCTCTCTCTCTCTCTCTCTCTCTCTCTCTCTCTCTCTGTGTATGTCTAGGGTTTTAAATATCATAACAACCCAAGGGGAAGTGTTTTATCTAACTTATGAACCGAAAAAGAAACTTAAAACGACATTTATCAATATTTATATGTTTCGAACATACTTTCCATGAACCTTAGGAAACGGGCGTAAAATATCTGTTGCTGGCGTACGGATCTTTAAAAGGACATTCTAAAAAGCAGTGCGGCCTATCAACACCTCTGTTACAGTGGTACACTCACTGGGTTACAGATATGAAGGTTGCGAGTTCGATCCTCGGGAATATAAAGAAAACATTTGTCATTTGATTTTACTTTTCATTACATGTTACAATCTGAACGGAAGTTATATTAATAAAATACCCAGGACATTATATAAAATCCCTGGGATATTATAACACATTATATAGCAAATATGACTTGAATATCCTATAAAATCCCGGGGATATTACAACGTCCCTGTTTATGAGATTTAACCCGACTGGAGAACAATAGGATGACGTCACTGGGGGTTTATTAGAGCAGTTAGACATATCTTCGTAGAATACTTTTGAAATTATATTTATGTCACGATACAAACCCCCAAAGCATTTGAATATAATATTTTTTAAATCAAATGGGAAACAACTTTGTTTCACAAACATATCTTAATGGCACAGTCCTATGGTTTACTTATTATATACTGCTGAATGTATGTCAGGGAACTAACTGGTCGACCTCTGTTACTAAATGAACAAGCAGTTGCAAATATATACGTACATTCATCTATTTATGTATGATATGAATATAAGCGAAACAACTATTGTCAAACAGTCATAACACATGTTTTCGCGAAAAGGTGACCGTATCCTGACCTTGCATTGACACCAAACAATCCCCCATCTTAATGTACAATGTCTGTATACTGCTCGAAGCGGCGTTAAATGACTCTCAACAAGCAGGGACGGTTAAAGAGTGCCCATCTTTATACAAAACCGAAAGCGTCTTGATGCATTGCACCGTATTGTCCCGTCACCTCACAGGGTCAAAAGAACTGCCCAAGCCATCATGTTTCTAGCCACTTTAATATAAAACGTCAACGTCAGAGAAGAGTCTCGATTATCTACCGAAACAGATTCCTCTGGGCTTAACAGGCAAGATATACATGGAACTTATTTATATATGAAACTTATATGAAATCATTGATGAGACCAGGTATTCGCCAAAAGCGCGAACAGTTGTTTTCAGGTGAACAATTGCCTTGCCTTTGCATGTGTTTGTGACAGGTGCCACCGGCGGGGCAGGATACGCTCACCTTTTCGCCAACACCTGGTACCATCTCTATTTGATAGTTCATAAACAGTGATATTGAATATAGAAAGGGTTTTGTAGCTTTATTGATACAAATTCTGGCTTTCAGAATTAAGGATATTTAAGATTATGTTAATGATGAAGAGCCTACAACAAATTCTTTCTTTTCCCGTTTTTCCATTTACGTCAATTATTTGTTTTATATCTGGTTCACATGTAATAATGAAATTGGACCATTCTGTATGGTCTCGGCTTGCAGGCACCGCCTCCCTGGATCCACGATCCAATGGAAGGATCAGCGTCCTGTGTCTTGGCTACATCATCGTCACTAATGCCATCGGTGCCGCCATTGCCGTCATCGTCAGTCTCATCATCAAACCAGGTCAGAATCTTCTCGGACATTGGTCAAGAACTTTATATCTATAGTTCACCAGGACGAAGGTCCAGAGAGCATATTAAAGGCGCATTGTCCATCATCTGTTGGTTTAGGTTTGAAACTTAAACTTGTTGGCCCTAAACAAAAACTGAAAACTTAAATCTATTTTTGATAAGTATTAATACAATCTGTCACATTGCCCTGCCTGCACTTGCAGTAGAAGTAATTCGAAGTTAACATTTTGGTTTTTAGTTTCAACAAAATCAGTAAACGCGCTATCACTGGATTGTCTGGTCCAGCTTTGATTAAAACAGCAGGAACCCGTGAAGATCCGGGCTAGAATTGGTCTTGTCGTAAGAGGCCACTGACGGGATCGGGTTGTCGGGCTCGCTGACTTGGTCGATGCATGTCCTCAATCACTAGATTGTCTGATCTGGTCTCAATTATTTACATAACGCCGTAGCTGGGATATTGCTGGGATATTGCTGGGATATTGCTGAGTGCGGCGTTAAACAATAAACAAACAAGCAAACAAAATCAGACAGCTGGTATCTCCTATTATTTGTGTCCCATTCATAAACACTTAGATTAGGAATTAAAACTTTTAAGACTTTTAAGAGCATCCAAAAAACCACCTTAACCAAATGTGGTAATATACATGTGTAAGAAAATACATTGAACACCTATTGTCCCCCACGCTGCATGGTCAACAAACAGCCAACCTCCCCCTACTTGGTGGTTAAATACGACATGTTTCTCCACATATAACATTCAGACCAGTTGGAATATACCTTTGGTTCAAGACGGCAACAATGTCATGGCGCTACTGTGCTGATACTACGTGGAGAGTAGTGACCGTTTCCATCTATGTTTTCCAAGTATACCTTCCTCCCCTCTTCCCCCACTTCGTACAGCCGTCATCATTTGTAATCGTCCGTGGCTTTACTTGGAAACAAAATTAAAGTCAGCCATGAGAATCCAAACCAAATTGAATTTTATTCACGGAAATGTTGAGATTATGTGATGGTCCCATAGTTATGCCACAAACTAAAATTTACCAATCTATCAAATGTCCCGAACCAAGGCCAACACATCTTCCCGGGGGAAGGGAGTAAACAGACTATAAATATCCAGTGGAAACTGGACTTTTAGTCAGTGAACCCCAGTGGTTTCCACTGGACATTTATAGTCAGGTAACGGCGTCAAACTGTGATCTAATCTCGAATACAGTGGCAATTATACCTGATCCGCGGAGTTTCGTCGTACCACATGCACACCTCCATTGTCCTAACACCTGCACACCTCTATTGTCCTAACACCTGCACACCTCTATTGACCTAACACCTGCACACCTCTATTGACCTAACACCTGCACACCTCTATTGTCCTAACACTGCACACCTCCATTGTCCTAACACCTGCACACCTCTATTGTCCTAACACCTGCACACCTCTATTGTCCTAACATCTGCACACCTCTATTGTCCTAACACCTGCACACCTCTATTGTCCTAACACATGCACACCTCTATTGTCCTAACACATGCACACCTCCATTGTCCTAACACCTGCACACCTCTATTGTCCTAACACCTGCATACCTCTATTGTCCTAACACCTGCACACCTCTATTGTCCTAACACCTCCATTGTCCTAACACCTGCACACCTCCACTGTCCTAACACCTGCACACCTCTATTGTCCTAACACCTGCACACCTCTATTGTCCTAACACCTGCACACCTCTATTGTCCTAACACCTGCACACCTCTATTGTCATAACACCTGCACACCTCTATTGTCATAACACCCACACACCTCTATTGTCCTAACACCTGCACACCTCCATTGTCCTAACACCTGCACACCTCTATTGTCCTAACACATGCACACCTCTATTGTCCTAACACATGCACACCTCCATTGTCCCAGGAAGTAACCAGGAGATAGCTGCTGACATGTCCAAGCCTGATACGAAGAATCTCCAGACTGAGGACATCTTTGCTGACCTGATAAGGTATCTGGCACTCAATACTATACTAGGCACCAAATGAAACTGCATTTGAATGTTTGAGTATGGTTTTACGCTGCTTTTAGAAATATTCCAGCAATATCACGGCAAGGGACACCAGAAATGGGCTCTACACATTGTACCCATGTCGGGAATCGAACCAGGGTTTTCAGCCTGACGAGCGAACACTTTTACCAGTAGGCTACCCGTCTATCCCACGTGGCATATGAGCCGAGTACAGTTTAGATTGTTTTGTATAAGACGGTAGCCTTATTGGAAACTCCGCCAATACCGTGTGAAAAACATGAGTGTCTTTTCTTATTACAGTTTAAATAATATTCGAGCACTTAAAGCAAGGGCACAATAATTACCTGTTGAAATATTCTATTCTTCTTTGACATTCTGGTTGAAAGATAAGGACAAAATGAGCATCATGCTTTGAACTTAGAAAACTTCTTGTCGGAACTGGATTTTATTAGGCAAAATCCAGTTTCCATAAAAGTAAAGCTATTTCCACTCGTAGGTTTTGTTATATATTTGTGTTGACTTTATGCAAAAGTGTCGTGTCCCATGTAAAATTAACATTGGGGTATTTGAATTTCCTACAAAGTCTATAAGTTGCGTCTCTCAAATAGTTACACCTTACATTAAACTACTAGTATCCTCACTTTAATGTCAACAGATGTGAAACATGGCAAACATTTGTGAATCAACACATGCCCACTTAATTATGGGTTTGTGATATGCATGAAACGAGTTGATACAGGCGACGTGTGAGAGATGTCAAATTCTAATGAAAACGTGATGAAGTCTGTATACATTTGACTGAGGGTTATGTGTTATACTGAAACTAAACACTTCTGTTGATGCCCACAATGTCTTTCACTTTGTAACTGTTTCAGTTTGAATGCTAACGCTCTGATCAACATACTTTCAAGGATCTGATATATTTTCGAATTACATTAATAAAGACCCTTCTTGGCTCACTAGATTTGTATTAAATCAAGAAGAGAACAAACTTTCAGAAATATTTATAAATGTTTTCAGAGGTGTCAATATGAGAATGAATTCTTCATGCCCTTTAAAACTGAACATTTTATGCAAATATCTTCTAAATTAAAGTACTTATTTTCATTTCAACCTAAACTATAGTTTATATTGTATTGCAATCATTAATACAATATAGTAGAAAACAATGCCATCAAATCGACATCAGACAATATTGCCACACGATTGTTATCATGTCTGACGTCTTTGCGTTTGCAGAAATTTGTTCCCGGACAATTTAGTAGCAGCTGCCTTCCAACAATCACAGACCAAGTACCACCTGGTGTCAGAGCGAGTCATCACCGTTAACATTTCCGGTGGCATCATAAATGAAACCGAGGCTGTCTATAGTCAGAGCCTTGGCGTGTCTTCGGGGACGAACATCCTAGGTAGGTTTCAACACTTTTACTTATGGAGTTTAGCGACTATGCTTGTTGTAAAAAGTGACTAACGGGGTCGGGTGGTCAAGGCTCGGTGACTTGGTTGATGCATGTCATCGTATCCCAATTGCGTGGATCGATGCTCATGATGTCAATCACTGGATTGTCTGGTCAAGACTCGATGATTTACAGACCGCTGTCATATAGCTGGAATATTGCGGCGTTGAACAACAAACAAACGCACAAACGTATGGAGTTTCTATTAAGAGTAACCGATACTGCTAGGATGGATACACCAAGGCGTTGTTGTAGGGCATTTAAACTGTAAATAGCACACGTCACAAATCAGGTGACAACAAGCGACCCGGCGGCGTAGAGATGCTGGATGGATTGATAACCTTGTAAAACTAGGTTGTATACTCCCCAGGGAGTTCAAACACACATTCATCCGGAGAAGGCATGTGCTTTCAGCATTTCGTCTGCATAGGAGCTTCCGCTCTAAAAGTGGACTGTCATTATTTTCATTTGTATGGTCTGTACGCTAATGCTGTTAGCGTGTAGCTGTTTCTCAACATAGCCGCCGTTTTTGGCCAATAACAGTGAAACCTGGTAACATTGATGTCCTGGGATAATTGCAAATATATCGAATTATCCGTAGTTCGAGACAAGCGGTGTCGGAGTTTTACTGCTGGAACTGGAATCAACGGTTGAAGATCACGAATTGAACTCGGGGACAGATCCTGTTCTTGGGAGTAAGTTGGATGTATGAGTAGTATGGAAACAAAGTCTTTATTATACATACATAACGTGTCCCTTCATGTCACAACACTACTTGTCACGATCCTGTTCTTCTTCAGGTCTTATATTAGCCTGTACAGTTATGGGCATGGCCGCTTCCAAGTGCGAGGACATTGGGAAGCCTTTTCTCAAATTCTTCCAATCGACCTGTGACGTCATGATAAAGGTCCTTCGCTGGATAGTTTGGTGAGAAATGTCAATCAGTTCAAAATATAATACTTAACATAAAACCAAATTACAGAAATCGACTCCTGTAGATGCTATTGTTTGAAAGCATAAAGTCAAATGGGTAAGTCTAGTGGCTCGTCACCCTAACACCCGGGTTCGATTCCCGGTGTGGATACAATGTTTGAAGTCCATTTCTGGTGTCCCTCGCTGGGATATTGCAGGAATATTGCTTAAAGCGGCGTAAGACCATACTCACTCACTCATGCAGTCAAATAAGCAATTGTATGCTAAACTTCGGCAAGTAATTCTCTTCAATATGTTTCCAGTCCATGTTAATTTATCATCTCACAAAACCATATCTGACAAACAGCGACAAAACATTCGCAATCATAAGAAATCTGTGCCACAAGCAGACTCTATAGTACGTTCTCTACCACGTCATAAGCATGTGTTTATGAATCATTATCATATGGTGATGACACAGGTGACAATGGCCTCCTCGTGAGTCTATCACCCTCTCGAACTCTTCGAAGAAAGAGCATGCTCGATTGTACCTCACAAATTATGACCAAAGTCCGAATAGTCCATGAGCCAGAGAAAATTTGACTACCAAACAGAGGGACAAATTACCAATGTGATTTTCAGCTAGCTTGATGTCTCAACTGTATAATTTCATGTGATGGACATTTCAGATGCCCAGCTAAATACGATTTTGGCGGCCATTTGCCAAGATGGCGGCCATTTTTTCACTTTTTCTACAGATTTCAGAAATAAGCTTATAACACAGAATTTATTAATTTCAGACAACTTTTATTTACTGATAATGTTTCAGCACTACATTGCACACATTCTGTTATGCTTTTTGTATATCATTGAGTTAGAAGCTCCTAGGGCCCGTTCCACAAAGCGATCTTAGCGCTAAGATGATCGTAACTCCCATACTTTATCGTAGCACTAAGATCGCTTTGTGGAACAGGCCCCTGGAATGTTGCTCGACATAAAGGGAAAATTAACCAGTGGAAAGTTGATGTCATCACTTCTGTCACACAGTGTTGTGGAGAGGTTTTTGCCACTCTGAACCTACAGGCATAGATATAAATATGACGAGACGGTCTCACTGGTCTCTGTATTTCTAGTTCAGGTGGGTAAATCAGTGGAAGGGTATTGGCAATTTGTTCATTATTGAACGGAAAATCAGATCATGGCCAAATTCCAGTGTTCCGATTTTGCCATTCCGATCAGAAGTCCTGATTCATACATGTATGCATAAGAAACAGATCAGCATGGGAAGTGCACACATGCGGCACGTGGGACTGCTTACTCCTTGCCCCAAATATGCCAAAGATGTTATCCATGAGGTTGGTTGGTTGGTTGGTTGTTTAACGCCGCACTCAGCAATATTCCAGCTACATGACGGCGGTCTGTAAATGATCGAGTCTGGACCAGACAATCCAGTTATTAATATCATGAGCATCGATCCACGCAATTGGGATTGATGACATGCATCAACCAAGTCAGCGAGCCTGACTACCCGATCCCGTTAGTCGCCTTTTACGACAAGCATAGTCACCTTTTACAGCAAGTATGGGTTGCTGCAGACCTATTCTACCCTGAATCTTCACGAGGAAGCCCACCATTTCACATATTGTTTTCTTTGTAAACTTGAGATGGCATTTGCTTTAATCTTTGACAATTGTCATGAGTGATGAGTGAATAAAAAACATACGTCACATCGGCAAAATTTCAACCATATTGTGACGAGACAATAGTATACATTAATTACAACTATATTTAGAGTGTATGAAATCCTGTCATCGTAGGATAGTACAATATTGAAACTTTGAAAGTAAAACCGAGTTGTTCCCCCCAGTCGTGAAGGTCATATGTCGAGTGGCACTGACTCCACACAGTCAGATATACAGTTGATCTCTTCTTCAACCAATAAGGTATGTATAAACATCTGGCCAGACATAGAAAATTTCCAGTATTCCCACGTAACATGTTTTCGTGCCTCAACTCTTTTCGAGCCCTTAAACAATACGTAACCATGCGCTAAATGACGTAATCAAGGTAGACGCTCACTGAAGAATCAAACTTTTCACCACTTGTCGCTGAAGTTATGTTACGAATTATACCACAAGAGGTTAGACATTCAATAAGTTATAAAAATATACCTCAAAACTAACTTTTTCACAAATGCACATTATAATCAAACTTGATCTGATGATAATTTTGAATCAGATCAGTCGTATACACCGATGGCGTATCAGCAGCTGTTAGTAAACTTCCTGTCTATAATGTCATGTGACTGATCATGTTGTGCATATATTTTTAACGTGACTGTCATGGAGGGGCTCGAAATTAGGTGACAATAACGAGATGGCGCCAGATTGACTTGTCTTGCTTGGCGAGGTGTTATCACGATAAATCTATCCCATTGTAAACAGAAATATATGTTTTCAAAGGTAAGACTTAATTTTAGTGTATGGCGATTAGACACATAATGAGAAGTACTTCTTGGGGCTCGAAAACACAGTACGCGAGATGGTATCTCAACAGGTACACCCCCATTGGCGTGGCGAGTCTGATTGCAAGCTCCGTGGCCAAGGCTAAAGACATCGACACGGCTTTCACGAGTCTGGGGATGTTCGTGCTGACAGTCACTGTCGGGATGGCGATCCACCAGATGATTCTGCTACCTCTCGCCTACTTTGCTCTTACCAGGAAGAACCCGCTGGCGTTTTTATTCAGTGCCTCTCGTGTTTGGATGACAGCGTTCGGCCCACCAAGCACGTAAGTTAATGTTCGTTTTTGTTGTTGTTTACGCCGCACTCAGCAATATTCCAGCTATATGACGGCGGTCTGTAAATAATTGAGTCTTGACCAGGCAACCCAGTGATTGATCAACCAAGACAGCGAGCCTGACCATACGATCCCGTTAGTCGCCTCAAACGAAAAGCATAGTCACCTCTTACGTACGGAAAGCTTGGGTTGCTGAAGACCTATTCTACCCCAGATCTTTACGGGTCCGTAAGTTAATGAGTTGAATCATCATGATTTAGGTTTTAACGCCACACTGAACGTTATTTCAATGAGGGTGCGAGCCCCAGTGGCGCAGTTTGTATCTGTTGTTTGAACCCACGACCAGCGGATCCTGCCAACTAAGGGAGGTAATAACGGTGTGAAACAACAGTCAACCACACCATGACCCAATTTAGAAATAGTATTGGCCAGTAATATGCTTTCATGTCAACATTCCACCATAAGGTATGAGAGATTGAACTGAACTCGAAGCTTGATACATTGTCTTCTCAAAATGTAATAAACCAAAGAGTCTAAATATAGACCATTTTTTACACCCTCTTCGTCTTTTTATGTGCAGTCGCATCTATAAAACTGTTTCCACAAACCGAATGAATTCCATGACATCGTATATCTTAAGGTATGCTGTACAGAGTAACACAGTTTTATTGATCTGTTATACGCCAGCGCTGTATCTATCCCGGAACAGCTGCGTTGTCTGGAAGAAAAGAATCACATCAGTCCCAAGGTGACCCGCTTCGTGGTGCCGTTCGCCGCCACTCTCAACAGGGACGGCAGCTGCCTCTTCATCACCGTCACGGCGATGTACATTGGCCAGCTGGAGGGACACACGGACGCGGGGAAGATTGTCATGATAGCGTGAGTGTCCAGCAAAAGACTTCGAGCACAATTGATGCCATTAATAACAATAGCGTGGTTTGATTAAAGTGGAGGCTCTTCCTGATAGAATTGTATTGTGCACTTTTGCACACATTTATTTGTCTGATGATCCTCCTGTGAAGCATGTCTAGGCTCATGATGAAAACAAGGCATTCCACAGATTTCTTAAACGAGCCAAGTATGTGGGACATAATATCAATATCAATGTTGATGGTTCTGTACTGCTAGACGGTAATGGGTTGAACGATGCTATCATTTCATCATTTCTAAAATAGAAAGAAACGAACCTGTAATATGCTTCAAGTAAGTAAATTTTTAGCAATGTTATTTTTCAGTATACTAGCGACCGTGGGGTCCCTCGCCATTCCCTCAGTCCCCAGCGCTAGCATCGTCACACTACTGATCCTGTTATCATCACTCAACATCCGGGCAGTTAACATCGGTCTCATTTTAGCGGTAGAATGGTACACGTAAGTATATAATTATATTTCAATTGTTGATTCATGTACTAGTATTTAAAGTCACATTACACTTCCACCAACAGATGCTGCACCGTGATAAGGTGGTCTAGTGGAGAGTGTGTTCGCCTAGCTTACTGAAACCATGACAAAGAAGTCATGCAATACCTTTGGCCACCATTCCGGCATCATGCAATCAAACTTATCGATTGTGTTTTCTGTTGAATTAGCACTGCCTTCGATTTGTTCATGGACTTAAAGTGTGTAAAAACAACTCAAGCTCCAATTCACTCTAAAACTCAAACTTTAATCTTTATCAACCTTTTGAAAAGAACCATTGGGTGGGGGTGGGTGACATGGATACCATAATTCATGCACATTGGTCGAGTCCGTGATGAACAAACGCCCTCAGCTCGATACTACCCCATAACGCGTCTATGTGGAAACTTACATCTAACGTCACTACTTCAGGGACCGCATCAGGACGACCAGCAACTCCATGAGCTGTCTTCTCTGTGCCGTCTTCACCTACAGATTCTCGGCGAAGTTGCTGTCAACGCAGGGGCCGCCAGGTGGCGATGACGCTGTCTCTGAAGTGACAGTGACCATGAATAATGAGAAAGAACGTTCTTTGAACACTAAGCTATAAATACTCACTACCACATGTATTTGCGGCACCGGCTGCTCCAACCACCCGGAATTGGGGAATACCCTTCTTAAAATATACTCATTCATTGAGTGATATTTACTCGGGATCATCCAGTTTATTGTTACAGTTAATTTTTTTTTTTTTATAAATCTTTTTATTATTATTCCATTTCATGTATATTATTAAAAGTGTAGGTATTAACATGTGTATATATGACAGTATTAACACAAGTTATAATTTTCATAGGTGAGAACAGGCAGATTGTGTAGGATATTATATTATATTATATCATTACGGTTCTTCTCAAACTGAGAGGGAGATTATAAATAATTGTTTACAAGAAATAGATGATTACTTATTAACAGGTAATATGTTTCAACTGCTTCATTAGATTATGAGATGTAAGTTTTGCCATTTCTGAGCATAATGGTTATTTTGATTTTTTTTTTAGCAATATACCTTTCCAAACAAATTGTGTCCTTCAGTAGTGAAAGAAATTGTTCGAAAGATAAATCTTGTTGTTTTATGTTTGATATGTAGATGAATCTTTTTTGCTAGTATAATAATATGATTTGTTACATGGTTTTGAGTGGAAATTCCAAAAATGATATTAAGTTTCGAAAGGATGAAATTTGTTTGCAGGTTGTTATTTAGGAAGTTTTCAACTTTAACCAAAATTGTTGAACAGATTTGCAATCCAAATATACATGAGACATATCTTCGGAAGCAGTTTTACAGAAAGTACAAATATCTTCATCGACAAGTATCATCTTGAGTAATTCTTTCTTAGTGTAAATTATTCTGTTTATAAATCGATATTGAAAATCTAAGAGTTTACAATCACGAGTGCATTTTCTATAATATAAAAGTATATCTTTCCAATCCAAACCTTGAGGAAAAACCGTATTCAAGTGTTCTAATGATTTCGGTACAGTATCATTCCTAATAAGTTCATCATAAAAAGCCCTTGATTTTATAACGTTATTAAAAAAATGTTTATATATATTGTTCAGTTGAACTACATTTACGTCAAGGGTTTTGTCTCTGATTTGAAATCTCCAACTCTTTGGAATATTGTTCAGTAATTTTTGAAAGTCTAAAAAAGTTCCCTTGATCTTATATTTTTGTTTGAAATTTTCAAAACTGAGAAAACCGTTGTTGTCGCAAAGGTCTCTAACACTCTGGACACCTTGATTAAACCAATTTTTTACAATATAAGATGATTTAAATAAATGATTCAGCCAGAGTGGTTGATTCAAAATGTGGTCTAAATCATATTCATACAAACTCATTGTTTGGTAAAATATCTTCCAAGCAGACAATAAATCTCTCCAATAAGGGTTATCATGTTTAGACAAACAGTCTACAGCATTAGAACCAAGTTTGAAAAGATGTTTTAGAGGAAAGATTGTTGTAGAATCTTCATGCTTTTTTATATACTTTTGTAATGAAGATAGTTATCATCCTTAGACCTCCATCTTCATAATTTCTACTAATAGTTGATCTCTTAATTTTTGTCATTTTTGTTATTCCAAAGCAATCTAAAAATTATTGTGTTTATGTCGGGAATAAATGCTTTAGGTGGATTAGGTAAAGCAGAGAAGATGTGTACCAGAGTTGATATAGCAGGAGTTTTGATAACCGTACTTTTTCCAATAAGAGTTAAGGTTCTTCTACGCCAATTAGCTGGTAGTCTATTAATATGTTCTAATCTTTTTCTAGTATTGATTACCCAAAGGTCGTTCAATGAAGCATTTAAAGTTATCCCTAAAATTTCAAAATCTCCCTTATACCAATCAAGTTTAAAGTCATGTGCTAAAACTAGATTACTTTCAGACAATGATCCTATCCAAATTGCTTTTGTATTTTCTACATTTATTTTAAGTCCTGACATTTGATAGAATTTGTTGAGAGTATCCATTGATGTATTAAGGCTTTTTCCAGATCCATCTAGAAATAATTGAGCATCGTCCGCATGCTGACCTAGTTTATTTTCCTTATCGTTAAGGGTTATACCTTTTATATCTGGATTTGTTCTTATCATAATACCTAGAATTTCTACAGCGATAATAAATAAATAGGGTGAAATTGGGTCTCCTTGTCTACATCCCCTTTCAAGCCTAACAAATGATGATAGATGTCCATTTTGAATAACAGATGCAGGTGTATTAGAAGTAAAAATACCTACCCATTTAATGATATTCGGCCCAAAACCAAATTTTGTCATTACTTGTATTATAAAAGGTTTAGAAATTGTATCAAAAGCCTTTTAAAAAATTAATTAATAAGAGTAAGCCAGGTTTGTTAAGTTTTTTTAGTTTCAAAGATAATATCATAGAGTTCCTAGTGTTTTCACTTATACATCTTGTTACAGTTGAATTGGTTCCATGTTCAGATGAAAGTTAGGAATATTCTTGAACTATTTGTAAACCACTATTTCGACAATGGCCAATGCTCGACTAAGTTCTCTGGACCAGCATATTGTGATTCATGAGTTTTGTAAATGGGAAACTCGAAAGGATCTAAGGGATATGCCCTAAAGGTGAACCTTGATATCCACTGAAGAATGTACCCATGTGTACCAAAATATATAACAGGGTTTACATTCCTTTTGTAATACCTGATATATTTCGGGGCGTGGGTGGCCCAGTCATCTAAGACGCTGTGCAGAGTTGCGTCCCTTGGGCTAGCAAGAACCCTATGATTGTGGGTTCGAATCCCGGTTCGCCCAGATTATGTTTCTAGGTTTTGTCAGCACCATACCCGTGCTCGTGGGTTTCACCGAAGTGGTAAACGTCTGAAACCTGCATCACTTCGGGCTTTCCTCCCACATTAAGCTGACACGCCGCGATATAACTGGAATACTGTGAAAAGCAGCGTTAAACCCAACTCACTCACTGCAATATATTTCAACAAGATTCACGCGTCATTTTCTAGTGCGACACCGACATCAATGCATTTTGCTGGTGATCAGTCTCCACATTCTGATGAAGGGAAAACGTAATGCTGAACGTGACACAGGAGTATTCGTATTATTACCTGAGTATGTCAAGTGCAACTATGTAGATCCAGTATTTTGTTCATGTGGAATAAGAGCCATTACTACTGTTCATGAATTTTCTCAACGATTTTACATTTGTGTCTCTTAGCCTTCGTGTTCAAAGTGTTATTTCATCTCTGAATAAAACCGTAGGTTTACACGATGTTAATACAGTCCAGTTTATTTATGTCCATTGAGTGAGTGATTGAGTGAGTGAGTGAGGGGTTGAAGTGGAGGTATTTGCAACTGTGGGGAACCCGAGACTACCATCATTGGGCGAATGTAGGATTCGAGTGAGTGAGTATGGTTTTATGCCACTTTTAGCAATATTCCAGCAATATCACGGCGGAGGACACCAGAAATGGGCTTCACACATTATACCCATGTGGGAATCGAGCCCGGGTCTTCGGTGTGACGAGCGAACGCTTTAACCACTAGGTTACCCAACCGCCCCTGTAGGATTCGAACCTAAGACCATCAAACCTTTTGATGAATAAGGATTCTAATCTTCTTGCGGTGCCTTAGACATCTGGGCCATCCGTTCTGACGCTTCTCAACATGGGCTGTGACACCAGTGATACACAGTGCGCCGTGGTCGGACCTCTGGAACAGGAACCAACAATAAGAAGCCACACTGTAACTACCCCTACTCATTGTACAGATACCCGTGAAGATCCGGGGTAGAATAGGTCTTCAGCAACCCATGCTTGCCGTAAAAGGCGACTATGCTTGTCGTAAAAGGCGACTAACGGGATCGGATGGTTAGGCTCGCTGACTTGGTTGATACATGTCATCGATCCCAATTGCGTGGATCGATGCTCATGATGTCAATCATTGGATTGTCTGGTCCAGACTCGATATATTAAAGACCGCCGTCATATAGCTGGAATATTGCTGAGTGCGGCGTTAAACAACAAACAAACAAAAAACATTTTACAGATACACAATGAAGTCTGGAAGTATATTGTATAAAAAGAAGGACATGTCAATTCAACTTTGTCGAACTTTTCAATCTGAAGTCCTACTACATCTGATGTTTGTTGCTAAGACGTGAAGTGGACCTTACATACGTCCATTGGATTGCTGAATTGCATATAGTGATTAAATAATCTTTCGAGAGGAATATATCTCTATTTAATGCTACTTACGTCTTTGTATAAGATGTGGTGTATTTATAGGACAAGACGGTGCTAGTTACGTCTTTGTATAAGTTGTGGTGTATTTATAGGACAAGACTTTGCTAGTTATTTTCTAGTATGTATTTTCTTCCTATGCCTTTGATTAAAACTACTTTTGTAATTGTATTTTTAAATACATAATCTTCTACAGATATATACACAATTTCTACATTCTCTCCCTAAGAAATGGGGATATTGGAAAATACAAAGAGGTATCGAGTGATGGCATTGGATAGTTAAGAAAAAGGAATAACAAGGTGTAACATAAAAATCAACAGAGCACGTTGGTGGTGCATTGTATCGGAGCAAAGAAGGACGACAGTGAAGTATGAACGTTTGGATCATGCCGTCCACAATTAGTAAAATAATCGTGTATACGGCATGGCATGGTCTCAGTCAATCTCCCATTGACATTTTTGAGGGAGTCTTGTCCACTCGTCTTGCAGCGACTGGCTCAGTTCGGCTGACGTCGGCGTACATGCGCCTCCCAGTCATGTCCAAGACGTGTTCTATAGGAGGACAGGACTGGCCATTGCATTTTGGTGATGTTTTGCTATTGGAGGTAGTCAGTTACGATGTGTGCAGGGTGGACAAACGTTGTCGTCTTGAAATACACAACGTGGACCAGCATGGTGCGGAAAGGGCACAACCATTGGCGTCAGTATGTCTCAGTAGTACTGTCCGCTGTCCCGTCCATGGACTATATGCAGTGGTATTTCTGGCAGTCATAGTGATCCCGCCCCACATCATCAAAGACCCATCGCCAAATACGTCATGTTGCCTTACGTGGACGTGCACATGACGTTCGTTATGACGCCTCCAGGTTCGTCTGAAAACATTATACGGGCCGTCGTCGATTCTCACAGTTTCTACACTCTAAATAGGGCGACAAAAACACTAACAACGTCTTGCTAGAATGTGTCTATTTGTTAACGATGATACAACATGTGGTCGCCGAGCATGCAGATTGGCTTCATGCAGACAGGGGGCACATGTGGCACAGTCGCCCAAGGCGCTGCGGACACGCCAGAAACCCA